CTATCTCGTCCAGCAGTTTCCGAGGAAGAGTCGGTACAGATGCGAGAATCAATCGCGCGTTACACACGGTTCGCTTATTTTCTCTCTACCATGCTCTTTTATGCTAATTTCTTCCTTTGCTAACCGACCAGGGCTCTCATGGAAGCACATGAGGCGCTCGATCGACTCACTCAAAGAGGCATCCTTGGCAAGTCTTTGCTCAGAGGCAGAGACCGAAGACAATTGCAAGGAGTTACCCTTGGTATTGACAGGGAATTTGATTCTTTCATGGTATACAGAACCTTTTTTGATTACGGACACCATGCTGACACTATACCATGTAGGCATCTATTGGCAAGGAACAGAAGAGAGAGTTTAGGAGGAGCTTGCATATCACGTCAACTCTGATGCCAGACTCCTGTATGTCCGTATATGCGTGTTGGAACACCTGCTTACAGCTCCGTTCTACGACCAACAGCCGACTACGCACCCGCACGACCAATGTCTCCATCCCCGACCCACAACGCGTCTTTTCTCGCCCAACAATCTCAGTACACGTATTGCTGGCCAGGAACACGATCCACGCTCCTGGATGACATGGACCATTGGGCAGAAACTTCCACTTCTGACAATTCCCTGGTCTACTGGCTTGCCGATGTAGCCGGCTCTGGAAAGTCCACGATAGCGCAAAGTTTGGCAGATGATTGGCGAGACCGCAAGATCCTTGGGGGTCACCACGATTTTGCACTTCGCCTAAAACGATTCGACTACGACTTTATCCCGGAAATGTTCGAGTCGTGGTCGAATCAATTGGCTGCCACCTTTCCCGAGAGAGCTGGCCCAATAAACCAGGCTCGCGAAGAATTGAAGAGTTCAAGCGTGGAGTTGAACTGGTCCTTTGAGGACTATCTCCGATTCCTCGTCCTCCAGCCACTCAGCAATTTGCAGAGGGCGCACCATGGATTGTCTCCTCAGGCAAAGATTGTCTTCATCCTTGATTCGCTGGACGAGTGTCCGCCGGACATTTGCGCAAAGATCGTCCAAGGGCTCAAGATTGTCAATGCAAGCCATGGGGTCAAGTTTCTTCTTATCAGCAGAGTGTATCCTGGTAACCATGAATCCGACCTCACCACCGAAATTCTGCAGCTTCCCAGTGTCACCAGAGGTTCGATCAATATCAACTCCGCCTTCAATATGGCCGATATCCTACAGTAC